GAGTTACTCCGGAACTGATCTGAGGTGGGAGTACTGATTGCCCATCCATTGTTCCGGCAAATAAATAAAACAGGAGCTTCCATAACTGCTGCAAAATTTAAAGCCCCATGGAAATCTCCCTAGGAAAGACATTATTTTGATTAAGCCATCTAAAATCATAGTGATGCATAAAATCTAAAAGGCTCGAGAATAATGCAAACAATGATACAGAATTCATGACCCATTGCAATATACCGGTTTAAAAAAAAACCCAAGTTATGTCATATACCTCACTACTGCCACCGTCACCAAAATATGTGACTGTACATGCATCCTTCTTGTCCATCTTTAAGGAATAAGCAGCACCAACCGCATTTGGCAACTGCGTACTGGAGAAGACAAAATATACCTTCAGCAACAATGCAACATAAACCAAGGGAAATTATAAGTATATAAGAACAGTTGAGTAAGAATGGGATCTCAGGGATATACGCGATTGTCGCGGAAACAGTAAAATAGTTGAGCTTGTTAGAGCCATAGTGGACTGGCATCTGCCTGCCTTTTCCATAATCAGACTTGTTCCCGAAACACTGGTTTGCAAATTCTTGAAGTGTGAAACCACGCCATAATAGAACACCAGGCTCTCTGTACTGCAAGTACAACAAAAAAGTCGCCCAATTTATCAATCTTCCATTGTTACATGGATTCACTAAAAAGCACATTGTAGCAACAGTATCTATGAGTGTGCATTTATCATAGATGAATGATCCAAAACCTGAGGAAAGATAACATCTTCAGGGGTGAGAGCTGCAGCAGATGCAATATTAATGGCTTCTTCCCCGATTGCAGTGGCGTAAAAGGAAAGCCTCCCTTGTCTTTGAGCTTCATAAAATATGTTATCCATTATTTGAAGAGTAACCATATCGCTATATATCTTCACCGCAAGTTCCTCGCTGATCTAAACACGAAAAATCTCACTTGGTTTATCCACAAAAAGGACTGATTATGTTTTTCTTTTTGTCAATTTTTTTCTCTACCTGAACAAACTGACTGTTGGTGATTTGTTGACCATTGTCATCAAGAACACGGTAGCAAGGTACACGCTCTTTATTGGATTCTGATATGAATTGAGGCTCAGGTGTGAAAGTTACTTTGCCTCCAGGAAAATCCATGACCTGCAACGTTGAAAGTTCCTCGCAAATTCTTGAGAATGAATGGAATATATAAACATAACAACAAATCTAAAAAGTTCTTATTACAACATCAGTGAT